TGCCAAATTGATAGTAGTGCATTTGGTCACATTTTATCTTATAAAGTTTACAGTAATTAATAATTTTCTTCTTAAGATCTTTCCTAATTTTGGGCATCCAAATATATTATATAGTTATGTAGTTAAACAAAAGTGCGTGTTTCTTCTTTTGCATTTGATTTTATAATGGTAAAATATTTTATTTAAATGATTATACATGTATGAACATGTTTTTCCAATTAAAAAAAAATGTATATTTCGTTTGCGTTATTCTGACAGCAACCGGTTTTAAATTTACAATGCATAGACGATATCCGGTTATGTATACATGGGAAATGATGCTAGCGGTTGACTTACCGGGTTGGTAGAAGGATTATACGTCTGTGCATATTATACAAGGTTTTTATTTTGTGAATTATAAAGAGGACGTAAAAATCTTTTTAATGCTAATTACATGTATATTAAAGAAAACGTATACAGAATTTCAAACAAGAAGGAATTTGACATGTTTCTACTATTAAGTGCATGTTCACTGCACTAAGTTTATTTGAAGATCATTAGAATTATAACCCTCGATATGTCGAACCCCCGGATATCTCGAAGTTCATCAACGGTCCAGTCAACTTCGAGATGACGAAGTTTAACTGTACTAGTATCCCTATAAACTCGAAATAAAAGACACAACAGAGTCTGACACATCTGTTTCACATTTGGATATTTTACTAGAGAAGGGCATAAATGGCAAACTAACAATTAAATTTTATGATAATCGTAATGACCTCGATTTTTCCATCGGCAACTTACATTATTTATGTAGCAATATATTAGTATACCATTATCACCTGCATATAGAGTTTATGTTTCCCATGTGCTTGCAAGAGCATGTTGTACGTACGAACAATTCCAAAGCATGGCAAGCTATTGATAAATAAGTTGATGATACAAGCATATCAACAGTCTAGCTTACAGTCAAAATTTCGCAAATTCTATGGTCGATACAATGACCTTGTTAGCAAATACAATCTACTGTTAGGTTCAATTTTGGCCTTTATTTTCACAATGAATTGTCTACGGAGTTTTCTGTTTACCCGATCATGAGACGTGTGTGACGGGTCGACATGGGATGCTTATTCCTCCATGACACTGATTCCACCTCTGATATTTTTAGAGGTCCATGTTTGCTCTGCTCTCAATTTGTATTGTTCCCCAGGACTCTTGAGCTTGATTACTGCTCGTTAACTTTATATTTTAAAGTAGAAATTTTCGTATTAGCTTATTTATTCACAGCAGTTTTTAATTTTTCTTTATAAACTTTCAAAAGGAATACCATGCAGTGACAATACTCACTTTGCTTCCACGCTCTTCTATGGACAAATGCACATAGGAAAGATTTTTTTTCTTATTTTTATGAATGTAATCATACCAAACGCAAAGCAAGGGATAAAATAGAAATTTAATCGTTTATAGTGCGATTTTCATGCATTTTTATGAAATCGTTACGCTTCATTTAAAATTGCATTCATTAATCGGTTTGGACATTTCAATAGCTTACATTTAACAAGGAAACATATTCATTCATCAAATTAATAATCAAAATTAGTACCGAGTTGTTAGTTAATAACAAATTCTGAAGTACCGGTAGTTATTTTTCTTGAGATAAAATTCTTTTGAAAGTGGAAAATATTTTTTTGATATTAGTATATAATAAAAAAAAATCCGCACGGGCTATTAAAATACTGTAATAGTCATTACTAGATTAGATAAAAGGGGGGGGGGTTAGATTTTATTTGTACATTGTTACAGTATCAGAATTGGTCATGAATCATGCCATTGTTTATCATTGTTTATTGATTATATCATTGTGTTGGTCCCAAATGTTTTTATCTATTATATGCTTATGTCTTTAAGTACTTTTTACCTGACAAAGTTATCTTTTAAATTGTTTTTGTTATGCTTAAAGAATCTATTGTCAATTAATATAAGAATGTACTTACAGGAATTTCAGTGATGTTATCAGTTAATCCATACAGTAATTATTGTGACATGACATCTACAGTAAGTGCATGTAGGCCACCATTGTATGACATCATCAAATAGTTCACTTGGCGCAATAATTTGAATTTGCATTAATGTAAAGCAAGTACAAGTAGTCACTGGTTAAAGTATAGATTTGATAACTTAAACTATTCATACAATGTCTGTAGATTTGATTCCTCTTTTTATTGTTGTTGTCGTTTGGCACTATTTGTTTTTGCTCAAGAATATTACCCAGTCACTGATGTCTACTATACTAGTTCCACCACAAGAGATAGTGCATTGTTCCTAATTATTGAATTCTTGATTTATTGAGTAAGTAATGTATTCATTTATTGTACATAGAAAGTATACACTTAATAGCATAATTTGGTAACAGGTAATTGTTCCTAGTTGTTAAAATCATAATAATTTATGCCTGTCAGGAATTGTCAGGAAAATGAAGCATTTTGATTGTTTAGTTTCTGGATGCTAATGCTATATAAGAAAGTGAGCTCCTCAGTTTTGTCAGATAGCTCCACTGGGCACTTGCTTATTTGAAAACCTTATTAGGTATGATGAATTCGGCAAATCAAGATCATAATTTTTATAAAGACAAGTTCTAATTATTAGTCATTATAAACTTTCAATGTTTTTATAACTTGGCAACCTGGAATCCTTACATTTTATAAATTCCTGACAACTAAATTCCTGACACCCATCATTCCTGACACCCAGAATTCCTGACAACAGAATTCCTGACACCCACATTTCCTGACAATATAATTCCTGACAAGTTAATTACTGACAATCTCTTATTATGTAAATTATTGTTAATCTGCTCATATTTACTTCTGATACAGAACTCTTTGTTGTAAGAGTTGTTCCCCTATAATTTCCATTTTGGCTAAAGATACATACAACTTTATACTAAGCTATCTCCCACCACTCATGAGACCCTAACAAAATGTTATGTGTGTTGATAAGGGGACAAACACAGTTTTGTGCGTCAACTGTTGACTTGTCTATAAGTTTGTGATGAGATTTAATAAACAGTTGTAAAGTACATATGGAGTTCTTGTGTAAAACATCTACAGTGGAAGTAAAGATATATTTAGGCCAGCCTGTTACAATACCTATGATTGATCCATTAAAAGGAAAAATTCCTTCTCCCTTTTTTATACTTACTATTCAATTTGAAACATTCAGAACAAAATAAGGATTATCTGAGTGCCTGTATTACAAAACTATATTTAACAAAAGAGAGCATGGTCAGTCGAAGACTATTTTTCCTTCAAACGTTTGTTCCCGCAAATACAGTCTGTCAGTGGGCGTATTTTGACTGACATATTTCATACAAATTTTCAGGCCATTGTTTTATGCTAAATTTGAATACAGATTAGTCCGTATACCTGATCAATACATAGAGCTAATGGTGGGTATGACCTGTTGACGGGGAATGCTTACTCCTTCCAGGCACCTGATCCGACCTCTGGAATTTCCAGGGATCCGTGTTTCATGACCTTTTTACGTTTTTGTATTATCTACAGGTTTTTTTTATATTGATCACTGCTCGTTATTTTCAACTTTTTCATATACAGATTGATAGATCAACTATTCTCCGTTTCTGAATATGTTTTCTGTTTTCTGAATATGTTCCAACTGGATTTTCTCTTACTGCTTTTGAGCCTTGAAATGCATTTGTAACTTCTCGGTTAGACTGTATTTTTTTTTAAAATAAATCAAAAAGCATACCTCAAGGTTCTCATTCTCTATCAAGAGCATACTTTTCTGTCTATGTACAGTGCTTGATATTCCATTGGTTCCAATAAAGTTTGAAGTATGAACAATAAACATTCACAGGAAGTGAATAATACGTAGCTTGTTGGAGATTTGAGTGATATTCTCCACATACTTTCCCATGCATTTAACTAGGACCGGAGAAAGACAATATGTCATTTCTAACTTTTTTCCAGTTAATAGAGATATTTCCATAAAGGTGAGTTCGCACTATAGAAAACAATCCCTCTGGTTTATATAGTGGTAATCTTTAATAATTTTGATAACAAAATCTTATTTATCCTGTACTACGATTGCATGATTTCTGAGGAACACCACAATGTGAAAAAAAAAATAATTTGGACCAGGAGAGTCGTACTGACTTGTTGTTATGGAAGTCAGCTATGTTCATTCATGAGTGCCTCCAACATTAATACTTTTTCATTGTCACGATTTTTTCTTTGTCCGTATGCTGTAAACTTAAAGCACGTCAATTAACAAGACTTAGTCAATGACTAAGTTATAATATATCTTAAATTGAATCCTGCATAAAAATAGCATATGGGGATGAAAGGTACCAATTTAACATGAAATATAAAATTCTGTAACAACGATAGAATTCAGATTAATGATTTTAGAGAAAGCTCCTCTTGAGTAGATCCTTTGAATAATATATTCCCAGAAGCTGAAAAGGGTGTAATCAAGTTAAGTGTTTTTTTTTTCTTTAACCTATGTTTTAAAGTGTTATGATCTTTAACAAGATTATATTGTCAGTTCGTATAAATTTCTCAACTTGCATACTCGAACAAATACTTCGATTAACATATACTTATTACATTTTTAGTTTTGTATGCAGTTCAAAGGCTACAATAGTTCTTGGATTTGATAATAATTACGATTAATGAGGATGTAATATATGAATATACCACTAATGCCTGCATTGCATTTACCTAATAAAAACGATATAACTGAAAAATTAAAAGAGAAGGAAGTATGTTTATTTTGATTTCCTGCTAGAATACTTTGAAACACGCATGGAAGAACTTTATTTATTATGAGAAGGAAAAATTCCAAAAAAAAAAATTATTTGACAAAGAAATAGAGTGTAATTTAGAGCATCGGTCGTATATGTTTTATTTTTGTTTTTATAGTAAGAGTTTTTTTCTTTATTAAAGACATATGAGCATTATTTTTTATTTTATATTCTAACAGATGATATACCGAAGGGGAAAAGCTACTTGCTGCCAAAAAATAACAAAAGGAAGGATTCTTATTTTTATTTTTATTGCAGTATCATTACAGTTTACTTTTATAATCCACGACGAAATCTATTATTTCAAATTAAATGAACTTTCCGTTTCCGAAAAAGAGACCAATGGGTTTTTGCCTCATCATCCAATAACGTGCCCTGATAATGGAACATCAGTTTTCCTATTAATAATTGTACCATGTGATTTTTCAAGCCTTTACCGCCGGATGGCCATTCGCAATTCTTGGGGGATGATTGCAAAATTGGACGATTCTGTCAAAATTTTGTTTCTCCTTGGAAAGAAAGATGAGGAGAAGCCAAATATCAAAAGGCTCGTAGAAAATGAAAGATTTCTATTTCATGATATAATTGTATTGGATATTGCAGAGTCATATCATTCTCTAACAAACAAATCCATAGCCGTTCTTCAGTGGGCTACTTCTCATTGTTTTCGTGCAAAATATCTCTTAAAAATAGATGATGATATGTTTCTTAACATAAAGGTATTATTAAAATACCTTAAATTGGAAAATCCAGAAAATTCCATAACTGGCTGCGCAGACACAAACAAAATACCTGTTCGAAATCCTTCCAAAAAGTGGTATGTTTCACAACACAAGTACAACAAAGAAAAGTTTCCTCCATATGTTTCTGGAACAGCTTACGTCATTTGCGGTGAAATAATACCAAAATTATTGAAGGCTTCACAGACTGTGCCGTTCTTAGATATTGAAGACGTCTTTATTACTGGTTTATGCCGTGAATTCATCAAAGCTAAGGTTATAAAACACAAAGGATTTACTTGTCGATACAGAGAACCCGGCCCATGTGGATTGAATTATATTGACGCAGTCACGGGACATCATTTTGATCCGAGTGAAATGGTCCGCATGTGGAAAGAGCTCAATCAAAGACAAAGCTGTCGTCTCGTAGACTCAGAAGGGTTGTCAGGTTGTGCTAGAAGGTTAAAGAAATGGATATTACGCACTTTAGAAATAAAAATAAAAATATAGATTTTAGTTTGCTAACTGATGTAGTATACAGTGGACGTTTTAAACATTTATTAATTGCACATCAAATAATTTTAGAGTGATCTTATCTTTCCTGAATATCTATGATTTTTTCCCGGCGTTGCTGTGGGTGTCCCACTTTATCTGTTACATGGACCAGTGATGCATCTGGAGATGAATGCTTCTGATTCGAATATAGCATTGACCGTATTTCGTGGCTAGTGACCAGAGAGAATGTTTTTAAACAAGCCTTTTTTTGTAATTTTGTGCCTTATTAGGTGCAACATTTGAATAGATGATCCATCTATAGATGCAGCATACATGTAACTTTCGATGCCCTTTTTTTAAGACACAATGATTAATTTAACTACAGTGAAACCTATCTTATCCGACATGCTGCAGGAAATAAAATCAATGTCGGATTAGGCAGTGTGTCGGATTATCCAGTGTTGAATATTTCTAAGCATTATCATTAGTGTCAGATGACTTCATACCAAAAAATCATTTTTCAATAGGTTTAGAGTACACGTATATTTAATTGTCAAAGTGTTTGCATAGTTGTGTTTTTCTTTATTGTAAAATATACCTGATTAACATTTCTTTGAGAAACAGCGTTTGTAATATAGCATTAGTAACTCTGTAGTAATATACGATGATTTTTTCAAGGACAAAACAGATGGAACTGCCGATCGCTTTGCGATGTTTGCAATTTAATTTTTACTTATTGAGAGTACAGTAGATAAAAGTCAATATTTTGTCTACCTTCTCTACACAGTGGTTTTATTTCTTTTTTCAACAGATTTTCGCCAATGTTTATTTCTCAACATAAACTGTGCTATTAATACCGTCACGCGACTTTTTATACAAACGGGACGTAATTCTAAAACTTTGTGACTGTGATTGAATTTTAATCAAACAGACGTAAACTTTTAAAATTTAATGGAAAACTTGAAGCGGTATTTTTTGCTTCCAGCAAATCTTTTATGTGCATAGCCTCGCTTTATTCAGTGTATATTAACCGGAAATGAAACGTTTTCCATTAGATAAGATGCTACCTTCAAATTGTGTACATGTTACACAGTATAGTTCTTTGTACTCATTTTTTTAATTTTCATTACATGGCTTTACGAAAAACTCTGACTGCATATTTGATTATAATTTCAAACTAAAAGTCTTATTTATTCTGTAAGGTAAAGGCGATCTAAATAACATGTACTATTTTTATTTTCTGTCGCGTGGATGCTGTTTTGTCAATGCGAGAATAAAAATGATAACTACAAAAAAAATGATTGCTTAATCTTTATTTCAAAAACTGTTCATTTAATGCTTAGAAAAACACTTTCAAACTCGTACGTATAATTAACTACTCTCCAAGAAGACCAATCTTGTGACCAAACGGGACATTGATGTTACCTGGCCGGTGTAAAGACGAATAATGACCTCCATCGAATAATGACCGGAGGGGGGTCATTTTTCAACGACAAAAATTGACCCCCCAGCCGTAAAATAAATTCATTTTGTAGAAAAAGAGCCCTAGGGGTCATTTTTTTTTATATGTGAGTCCTATAAAAAATTGACCCCCGTTGAAAAATGACTCCCTTTCCAACAGAATGATACAAAAATTATTACAGTGATTGATGCCAAGGTTTGAAACTAAATGTTTAATTTTTTTTATGTCCTTTTGACCAACACTGGACGCATTAACCCGCATCATGGAAATGATGTAGAATGTATCACAAATGACATAATATCTCGTGCGAACAACATACTATGGATATATTTCCTAATGGAATTAAAGGTGGAGATAACGAACAGTAATGATTTAAAATATTCATAAACAATACAATTCTGTTAAAAGGGTATAATAACAGGGTATAAAAAGGACCCCCGAGGACTGCAGAGATGGGATCAGGGGCCTAGAAAGAGTAAGCATCGCTCTCACCCGCCGTGAGCCCTATGAAAAAAAGCAGGTAAACGAAACATCCAGTTGTCGAATTTAGTATAAAAACAAAGGACAAAACGTTGACCCATTTAAGGGTTATAATTGTTGACAGGGACATTGGTACGATCATTGAATTTACGAAATGCTTTCTTTAAGCGAGGTTATTGAAACCCTGTAACATCAGCTTATCTGTCAGTAGCCTGCCTCGATTTAAAAATTAATAGTGCTCATGGGTATCGAATGAGATGGTAAATCTTAACATCATATGCAAATGATAGCGAAATATTACTGCATAAATAAGGACAATTGATGATGGAAAAGGCTGAAGTCATCCTATTTGTCAGACAATTTAGTTGGACTTGTTGTCTATAGTCATTAGAACGTCGAAATGTGAAGCAGACGTGGCAAACGTTAACATAAAAAGGACACAAATTTTCTGCATGTCTGAAATATATATACAATCGTATAATGTGCATTCAATTCTATTTATAAATAGTGGTCTATGGGAATGTCTTTTCAAATATATAAAAGTAATAAAAATGAATCCCAGTATAATGTACTTCAAGTCTGTTAACATGGTCGTCTGAGAATAGGATACATACATGTAAGAGGAATATTTTTTACTCTATTTTAAAACAGTGATACATTTGTCAAATCAATATATGGAAACATTTCAATACTGTGTATATTGAAGTAAATTAATGTTTTCAATTTATCATTAAAGACAGACCATTTTATTGACCTTCCAGGTGAACATAAGGATTTATTTTTCCTACATTGAACTAAAAAAAAAAAAACCATTCTGAAAAGTTATTTCACCTGAATCAAAATTCCATTCAAGTGAACATAATATTCAGGCATAAAGAATGGGAGAAGGGGGAGAGATTGTCCCCCTTCCCACTTTTTCTGAATGTAAATTTTAGCAATTTCTAGTTTGAAAATGTTCATTGAAGTCTTGTAACCACCCCCTCTTTTTTTACAGTATTGTCAAAAAACTCTCCTACTTGAGTGGACAAGATGCACATAACATTCAGAAGCATAGAATCAGGGGTCAGGGGTCGGTGGGGTGTGCTCTCCCTTCCATTTTCATGAACGTATTTTTTTTTTTTTTTTTTTTTTTTTTTTTTTTTTTTGCTTTAAAATGTTCCTTGCGAGTATGGATGCTCTACCTCCAACTTTTTGATACAGTGGAGTAAAAGGAAATCCCCCGTACATCAATAAACTTTTTGAGGGCTTCATCAAAGATATTTCTAAGGTAACTTTTGTCATTTTTGCCCCTTATAATGCCCCATTTCCCCTTTCGATGCTATGCCTGATATTTATTTCCTACATTGCACCTAAATACATTTCAAATGCAAAATTAATACTCGTTATGCTTATGTTAAATCAGATTCTCTCACTTTGTTTGGCTAGGAATTGAGCAAATGTAAACAAGAAACTTGACATGTCTGCTTAATCAGTTTGTATCAATTTATTCGTTGAATCAAATAATAAAACAATTATTGCTGTTTTTTTCTGTCAGTACAATGATTTTCCACCATCAAAAAACAATGTTCACCTCGCCTTTGGGCTCGATAAACCTTTTACTCCTTTAGATTCTAAATTATCGCATTGACCTTAAAATAACAATAATTGTACAATGCAATGAGATCAACATATCGTCAATTTATTCCCAATTAAAGCCGAACACGATTTGTAAAAAAGAATGTGTCCGCCATTTTCGATCGGACTCTTGCTATATCTGAGGACCCCTTATAAAGGACCTGACTTAGTCACTGTTCAGTGTAAACAGTCGACACCGGTGTAGACGGACGTATACTATACAGCACTCGGTAGCGACAAAAATAACTGTAATACTTCTTTTAATGCAGGAAAGTATAAGATACCAAAGAAACTTACAATAGTTGTACAAGTCAGTGCAGTATACAAACAAACACAGACACATAACTGCAATAAAATGTAAACAAAGGAAATGCAAGATAACCAACACGAACACGGGTCGCCATTCCACGCCGATACCCGTGACAATAAAGCAGTCAGGTGTAACGAATGCGAAGAGTATAACCTGGTGTTGATATCGTAGATAATAATATCGAAAATGGCGTATGCCTATATACGAGTCGTATTCAGCTCTAAGCTCAGGTGAGCATTTTGGCCAATAGGTCACTTGATTGATTTTTATTTTTTATTTTTTTTTTTTTATTTTTTTTTTTTTTTGCCCACTTAAAATTTCAACTTTAATCCATAAAGGGTCATTATTCTACGGGGGTCATTTTTCTTCAGGTAAGGTAAATTTTTATGGTGATGACACTTTTTCTACGGGCTAAAGGGTCATTTTTCGACGTCGAATAATGACCAGGGGTCATTTTTCGCCGTTGAATAATGACCGGGGTCATTTTTCGACGGCGAAAAATGACCCCAGGTAATTTTTCTAATTTTTCATTATTCGTCTTTACACCGGCAGCTAATTACGGTACAGTGTAATTATGTCGGACTAGTCAGGTGAAATCATAAAGTAATTATCTGGTTTTGTTGACAATAAAGCGCCGGAATTCGGAATGTACAGTGGTCGGAATATACAGTGTTTTATTCTATAAATTATAAAGATTTTTTGGGAATAAAATATGAGGTCGGAAAGTCCAGTGTGCCAGAATGCATAGTTGTCGGATTGGACAGTGGACATTGTACTATATAATATTGGAAATTCATGAAGTATGAGAGTTTGACTCACTTTTAGATGATACTTTCGTCCTACTTTTCAAAAACTTTTACCTTGGCAATTACTTTGAACAGTTGGTGAAAGGTCATATTTTACTTCTGTCTTCCTTTTGACAAGATCTTTCTTTGGGTACCAACAATTTTGACGATTTGACCTTGATCTTGGTGTTTGACGTACTTTAAATAAAGTTTAACCTTGGCCATAGCTTTTGAACGATTGGTGCTTTGGCTTTCTTATTTCACATGTGTATTTTTCGTGACATGACCTTCCTTTGGGTACCAGGTTCGTAATCAGGAAGAACGGGGTTCGATTCCTGTTCTCGGCCCCCCGTCAAACCTAAGATGTAAACATAAGTAGTGACTGAATGGGATATAAAACAACATAAAATCAATCAATCTAGCAACATTGAATATAAAAATGACAAACATATACGAAACAGTGCGACATTTAACTTCGGACACGACATTGTCCAGACTTTTTACTGCCATTTCTAATTGTGATGTCCAAAAAATTTATAGCACTTGATGGGATTTCTTAGCAGTATCGCATGGTCTCATATTTAACTCACAAACATCTCTGTTAGATGGGATATTTTCTCCCATCGGGAATTTTTTCTCCCACAATTGCTCAAATGGGATAAATCCTACAAATATTGACATTGAGACATTTTCTCCCATATATTGATAAACATGGGATATATCCCATAGATTATGATAATGACATCCCACTCACCAAATACATGGGATATATCCCATGTTTAACAATGTATGGGAGAAAAATCCCACTGTGAGAAAATATCCCATCTGACATTTTTTTCTCTCATGGGAGAAAAATGGGATAGTTGTTAGGACTAAAATCCTACCATTCTCCCATGGGACTCTGACTTTTAGAACTCCATATCTTTTGTTAGTTCAATATGAGATCATGTGATACTGCTGAGAAATCACACCAAAAGCTATATCTATATCTATATATATATATATATATATATATATATATATATATATATATATATATATATATATATATATATATATATATATATATATATATATATATTTGGATATCACAATTAGAAATGGTAGTATAAAAAATCCGGACAATGTCGTGTCCAGAGTTAAATGTCGCACTGTTACGTAAATTTATTCGTATGAAAATATGCAATTATGAATATGTCTCCTATACCAACATCAAATATGATGAATTAACCATCAAAAACGAAATATATCTCTGAAAAAATGTAGACGATGTGCTTATCAATTACAAGATTAAATTACCTAGTAAACTGGCAAAAATGAGGATGTGAAATATAACTAGTGACTAGCTCTTAAACTTGAAAAATTCTGTCTTACAATTCCGAAATAATATTAATATGATATTTTTAAGGTACAATGATTAGTGACATAAGTAAAATATTGATTAACATTCTGTTTTACCCTTTAGGAATAACGTTTTAGATGATTTGGCAAACATCGGATCTGTTTCGAGCCTGCTTTGAGCTTGAACTTTAATTCATATAGAATTAACCTGCATGGTGCGCTTTAATTCAATGTTATTTAAAGAATCCAAAAGTT